CCACATCCACATCTGATACAAAAGAAAAAGAAAAAAAAGTTATATATATATATATAATGTGGAAAAAAATGCGAATCCTATTGCATCAATAGGTTGCTGTCTGACAGTGACATCCTAATTAAAAACGTTATTAATATTTTTAGTAAGCCTTTGATTTATAGTCAGATGTTGACCCACCTAACCTAAATAATTAAAATATACATGAAATATATCTAAAAGTTTTAGCTCACTAAAACTAAAACTAGGACAAATAAAATATTTTAAATATTGGAGTTAATGCAAAAATGTGTATTGACACTTGACAGTGAGAATATACATCATACACTAGGCTGCTTATAAATCCACATGCTTTTAAGTACAGTAATCTTTATAATAAAATTAAATTTATACTTGTTATCGTTATGGATTTAAACATTTAATTTAAATTTAACAATACTAATTGTTTGAATCACTTTAAAACTACAATTGATCATTCCTGCTGTACTAGTGTTTAAGATGGTAAATGAGGCTAATTGGATCGGTTAAATTTAATCTTCTAATCGTTATTTCGGTTAGCGGATTAGGATTCGAGTGGTTTAATAAACCGTTTATCGATTTTTGTGTTGGTTTGATAGATTAAATCGAGAGTGAAAACGACGATGTATAATGTTAATGAGACAAGAGTGATACACACAGACCATGGACGGAACCATATGTAATTAGGTAGAGTTTCATGTCCCATCTTTATAAATTAAAAATTATAATTTATTTATAAAATTAATAAAATTTTAACCTGTGTTAAAAAACCTCATGTGATTTGTAATTTTTTTTTGGTCTAACCCTTTCCTCCCACTCTTTTCCCTTTTATAAGTTTCTCTTTTCTCTTGTTTTTTGTTACATCGTCTCTTTTTTTCCCTTTAATTTTTATCCATTTTTTAAAATATTTCTCTTCTATCTCGGTAACAACCCAAATTATAATAATAATAATAATAATAATAATAATAATAATAATAATAATAAAAAAAAAAAAATTTCGACACCGTAATTTTCCTCGCGTTGCAACAACCACCTCACCCTCTCTCTCTCTCTCTCTCTCTCTCTCTGTGTTTTCTGGTTGCCAACAATGGAGGATGAAACGAATTGGCTGAGCCCCAAGGTTCTGTTTCTGTCTGTAATGGTGGGTTGTGTAATGGTGAAAGGCGTGGCCTTGCTCTGGTGGAGACCAAGAAAGATCGAAGAGCATTTCTCGAAACAGGGGATCCGTGGTCCTCCTTACCACTTCTTCATCGGCAACGTCAGAGAACTTGTCGGGATGATGCTCAAAGCTTCCTCCCACCCCATGCCTTTCTCTCACAACATTCTTCCTAGGGTTCTTTCCTTTTACCACCATTGGAGGAAAATCTACGGTTAGTTCTCTTAATCACATAAAAAAAAAAAAGAAACCCATCAAATTTCGCAGCTTTCTTTTGGTCCCTTGTTCTCATATGATGATCATTTCTGGTTTTTGAAAAAGTCGTCAATTGTGGTCTCAAGCGTTAGAGAGCCGTCTCAGAGGCTCATTGACTGTAATTCTGGATTCAGAAAACGGATGAGCTGAATTCAGGATTCTTCATCATTCTTGCTCGGCTTCACTCGTGGCATTTTCTGGGTTTCCCCCTTTTTCTTCCTCGTAAAGATTTGCTACCGTAACTTTTTCTTCTCCTTATTGTGTCATGTTCGCCGAATATATATATAAACATATGAATATATATAAAAATACGTATTTTATAAGTATGTATATTATATATATATATAGATAAATATATATTTTTTATAATCCAAAAATTCAGCGGATCTTTACATTTGGATTTGAATTCGTGATAAAAAAATACTTTTTTCGAAGTGTATCAGAGGAAGCTTTGGAAACACAGGTCTGCAATGGAGCAATGAACAATTGAAGAAGAAGATGAAGAACAGAGATGAGAGAGAGATTCCTGAACTTTGTATTTCCCCTCACTTACTTAGAAAATGATGTACATCTCAATTTATACACAAATAAAGAATAAAGGCTACATAACAAACAAAAGACCAATCACTATCCTATAAAGCTGTACTAATGAAACTGTAGAATATGGGCATGAACCTCCTGTACAATGCTTTCTGTAGTACCAGCACAATAATTTTGATGTTCCCCTTAATATGCCCCCTCAAGATGGAGAATACAAATTATGTATTCCCATCTTGGAGAGCAAGAACTGATATCGATCAGAAGCCAGAGGTTTTGTCATGATATCTGCAACTTGCTGATGAGAGGAGACATGTAAAAGCTTCAGCAAACCGTTCTTGATGTGATTTCGGATGAAGTGACAGTCAAGTTCGATATGTTTCGAACGCTCATGGTGAACCAGATTGCTTGCCAAGTGAAGTGCAGATTGATTGTCACAAAATATAGTGAACGGCTTAGGGCAATGAATCTGTAATTCTGCCAAGATCGAAGTCAACCACAACAATTCACAAGAAGTATGGGCCAATGCTCTGTATTCGGATTCAGAGCTACTTCGAGAGATAGTGGGCTGTTTCTTGGCCTTCCATGAGCTCAAAGAAGAACCCAAGAACACGCAGTAACCTGTGATTGATCGCCTAGTGTCGGGGCATGAAGCCCAGTCAGCATCAGAATAGGCACTGAGTGTAATCGAAGACGAAGTTGAATACCAAAGACCCTGTGCAGGGGCCTGTTTCAGATACTTTAGCACCCGAAAAGCAGCTTTCAAATGAGTTGTGCGAGGCTGGGACATGTACTGACTAAGCTTCTGAACGGCGAAGCAGATGTCAGGTCGAGTTACAGATAAGTAAATGAGCTTCCCGATTAACTGCCTGTAAAACAAACCATCAGGTAAGGGCTCACCAGAATGCAGACCAAGCTTCTCTCTGGTATCCATGGGAGTACCAACAGGTTTAGCTCCCAATAAACCATATTCCTCTAGAAGCTCCAAAGTGTATTTGCGTTGATTCAAATGTATACCAGTAGAGCAACGAGCGATCTCAATACCAAGGAAGTATCGGAGTTGACCCAAATCCTTGACTTGAAAATTCTGGTGCAGAGTGAATTTAGTTGCAGAAATCAGTGCTTCATCATTACCGGCGATCAAGATATCATCCACATAAATCAGAATAAGTATGATAGAAGGCCCATTGCGTTTGATGAACAAGGAATTGTCTCCAACAGATTGCTGAAAACCTGCTGAAATCAAAACTCCAGACAGCTTTATGTTCCATTGGCGGCTGGCTTGTTTCAGACCATATAATGACCTATTAAGTCTGCAAACAGAATTCTCAGGCAAAGAAGCACCAGTCAAAGTTGAGTAACCAGGAGGTAAGAGCATATAAATTTCTTCTGACAAATCACCATTGATGAATGCATTGGAGACATCCATCTGCTGCAAAAACCAATTCTGTGAAGCTGCAAGAGACAAGATTAGTCGAACTGTAGTTAACTTAGCTACAGGACTGAAAGTGTCTAAGTAGTCCAAGCCTTCAATTTGAGTATAGCCTTTGGCTACTAATCTTGCCTTGTGTTTGTCAACACTTCCATCAGCATTATACTTGGTTTTAAATACCCATTTGCAGCCAACCGGATGTTTATCAGAGGGCAATGCACAAACAGTCCAAGTATTAGCCCGAGAAAGAGCAGCTAACTCAGTTTCCATAGCAGCTCGCCACTTATCAGACTTGATGGCCTGAAGATAGGTTTTGGGTTCTGTTTCGGTCATAATAGACAGGGTAAAAAAACGATAAGGTTCAGAGAGTTTGGTGTAGGAAAGGAAAGAAGAAAGCGGGTATGGAGTTTTTGATGTATGTGGGAGGGTAGTGTTATGTCGAAGAAGGTAACAATGGTAGTCACTGAGATAAGCAGGAGGCTTAGTCTGTCGCTGTGATTTTCTAATGTTCTCAGGATATTCAACTCGTGGACATATTTGAGTGATGGTGGTAGGATTTGGATCAGAAGGAATGACAAAAGAAGAGTCATATAGGTAAAATGGCTGTGAAGGAGATGTAAAGAAATCCAAAGAAGCAGTCGACACAGGTTTATCTTTGAATGGGAATATGGTCTCATGAAAAATAACATCCCGAGAAATTGAAACGACATTGGATTCAAGGTTGAGAACCTTGTATCCTTTAATGTCGGGAGGGTATCCAAGAAACACCGAAGGCGTAGCACGAGCCGAGAATTTATGACGATCTTTGGTAAGGGTGGACACATAACAAAGACAACCGAAGACTCGAAGGTGTGAATAGGTAGGTTCTGTTTTGGTTAGTCGTTCAAAGGGGGATTGGTTGTCAAGAATTGGTGATGGGGTTCGATTGATAAGGTAAACTGCAGTCCTTATACAATCTGCCCAGTAACATAATGGAACGTTGGACTGGAAAATGAGTGCCCGTGCTACATTTAATATATGTTGGTGTTTCCGCTCAACAACGGAATTTTGGGATGGTGTATAGGGACACGAAAATTGATGAGTGATGCCCTTTTTGGAGATGAGTTCAGAGAATTTCAGTTCTGGGGCATGATCAGATCTGATTGATTTAACAGACATAGCAAAATGCTTCTCAATATAAGATAAGAAAGCTGGGAAAAGAGTGTTTACATCACTTTTGCAACGCATCATATAAATCCAAGTGAGTCTGGTAAAATCATCAACCAAAGTGAGAAAGTATTTGTATCCCTCTATACTGGGTAAATGAAAAGGACCCCAGGTATCTAAGTGTATCAAATCAAAAGGGTTAGCCGACATGTGGCCTGTCGATGTTGCTTTGCCAAGGGACATACAGAACAGTCAGCATTGGCATCGCGTGTGGGTAGAAACTGAAGATGCAAAGGAGAAGAACCAGACTCTTGGATTTTGTATCTTGAGGGATGACCAAAATGGCTATGCCATATATTGACTGGAACTACTGATAGTGCTGTACACAGGGACTTGGATAAACAGTGCGCAGAAGAAAGAGGCTGCTGCACTTGATAGAGGTATAGATTGTGTTGTTGATCACCATTCCCAATCATCAAGTCCCGCGTAGGGTCCTGAATGATATAAGAGGAACGAGAAAAAGTGATCGTATAAGGATTATCCCTGGTTAATGCACTAACACTCAGCAGATTAAAATAAAAGGAAGGGATGTATAAAACAGAGTGTAAAATGAGAGTGTCTGAGAGCCTAACAGTGCCGGATTGAGAGACAGTCAAGACAGCACCATTCGGTAAGGTAACGGTCATGGTAGGAATGAGTTGAATATCCGAGAACATAGAAAAATGACAGCAAACATGACTTGTAGCTCCAGTATCCAGGATCCAAGTAAAAGGAGAATTACTAAAAAAAGAGTTAATGGTGGAAAGAAAGAAATGGTCGGGTAAGACAGAGAGAATACCTGGTGATGGCTGAGAAGATGGTTTGGTGACCAAGTCTGAGTTAGTAGAAGAGCTACCAAGGGTCTTGAGCTGAGACTGAAATTTCTCGAACAGAGCTTGAGCTTGTGCTAGAGTGGTTGTGGTGGATGCAGGGGAAGAAACATCAGTACTTTGTTTTTCCTTGTCAGAGGTGATCATATTCACAGAGGACTGAAACTTGGAACCAACGCCAAAACGAGGCTTCGGAAGGAGAGGTGGCTTGTAGTTGGAAACCATAGTGGTGTCCGAAGCTGAGGAACGAGAAGAAGGTGGGTAGCCATGTATCTTGTAACACCTCTGAATGGTATGACCCTGCATCCCGCAATGAGCACAAACTGGCCTGGACTTGTTGGTCGACGAGAATGGCGAACGAGGTCTGGCACTAGAGACAACGGTGGTCTGAAAAACGACCGAGTTCGGAGAAGGAGAAGAGGCATGGCGCTGGTGTTCCTCCTGAGCGATCATGTTGTACACCTTCGACAAGCTAGGAAGGGGATCGACCATTAAGATCTGGCGCCGAGCAGGTTGGTAGGACTCGTTCAGTTTCATTAAGAACTTGACCACATTGCGTCTGTCTAGAAGCTCAAGAAGCTTCTTGTTCGCTTGACAGGTACATCCTCTGCAAGTGCAAACTGGGTAAGGCTCATAGCTCTTTAACTCCTCCCACAGAGCGTTGAGCTTTGTGAAGAAAGTGTTGAGCTCCATGGAACCTTGTTGTAGAGTTTCGAGTTTCTGTTCGACATGAAAAATCTTCGAAACATTGGTCTGCTTGTACCTGGTCTCCAGGGTCTGCCAGATAATGTCTGCTTCATCTAGGTACATGATTAGGCTTCCAATCTCAGGAGAGACAGAGTTGCTCAACCATGTACAGATAATGGCATTGCATCTAGACCATGCTCCAAAGTCTCTGTGGGTGGTTTCAGGTTTGGGTATGGTGCCCAAAACAAAACCGAGTTTGTTCTTGGCGAGGAGAGATTTGGTGATGGAACGAGACCAAAGGGTGTAGTTCATCTCACCGGTGAGTTTTTCAGCGACGAGGGTGATGCTTGATGTATCGGCAGCATGAAGAAATAAGGGGTTGGAATAGGGATCTGGGTTTGTGTTTGGGTTTTCGGTTTGGGTAACGGAAGTGGAAGAAATTTCAGATGGGGAATCGTCGGCCATGGTTGAAAGAAGGTAAATCGAAGAAGAAATAGGGTTAGGTTGGAGAAGGTTGAAAAAGAAGAAGAAACAGGTTTAGAAAGCGAAAGAAAAATAGATCTGGATCGTGTGAGGCTCTGATACCATTTCGAAGTGTATCAGAGGAAGCTTTGGAAACACAGGTCTGCAATGGAGCAATGAACAGTTGAAGAAGAAGATGAAGAACAGAGATGAGAGAGAGATTCCTGAACTTTGTATTTCCCCTCACTTACTTAGAAAATGAGCTGTACATCTCAATTTATACACAAATAAAGAATAAAGGCTACATAACAAACAAAGGACCAATCACTATCCTATAAAGCTGTACTAACGAAACTGTAGAATATGGGCATGAACCTCCTGTACAATGCTTTCTGTAGTACCAGCACAATAATTTTGATGTTCCCCTTAATAACTTTATATGTTTTTTCAAAGAATGAATTACATTTCTACTCGCAAGAAACGTCATCAAAAGTTGCATCAATTTATCAATTTTTATGCGAAAAATCGCATTTGTTCATGTTTTACATATTTAATACGATTCGTTTTGTCTCTGATACGACCCGTGTCAAAGTTTGAACAAAAATAAAATTCTTTCAGAGAATTGACATGATATGTATTGCATTTAACACTGCCCGTATTACATTCGACACAGTTTGAATACAGCTTTCTCTCAGACAATTTGGCATAGTTCATATTGTATTTAACGCAGTCCGTGTCGAATCTTCACACCTAAATTTTACTGCTAAATATAAGTATATATTTCACCAAACATATAAATATATGTACTTTACCAATTCATAATATAAACATTTACGAATATATAACTTCTTTACCATATATGTAATATATATAAATATAAATCAAACTAGAGATTTTTTCGGCCAATCATTTATTCTAAAATATCCAACATATATAGCATCTCCAAAACTCTACAAGTTTGAGAAAAATCCGAACTGTTCGTGAGTGAGTACTCGATCAAATATCTATATAATAAGAGTGTTTAAACATACAAAAATTTGTGTTAGTTTTTAGAGTCATTATATAATTTAGGATTTAATATAGAATAACATAAATGTTTGTGTATTATTCTAAAATTTTAAATAGATATTTTATATAGAATTTTGTTATAAATTTATGTATTAATACAGATTTTCAAAAAATAATAAAAAGTATAAAATAATATGCTATCATCATCTTGCCGATAATAATTAGTACGAGATTTTATAGAGGTAAACTTTTTAGAATATCGGAAGAAGTAGGACTGTAGGAGAAATAATAGGTAATATTGTCAATTAAAGATTTATCTTTTTCCTAAATCAGCCAAAGCGAATTATACTGTATCGTTTCGCGTGACAATGACGATAACTACATGACGAGTTTCCGACGTAAATCGTGAGATCAACACCTCAATATCATAATCCCAATTTATCATCTCTCCATCACGTGACGTTAAATGCGTACCGCATCTCGAGAGTCGAGATGAATATAGCTCAATGGCAGATACCGTAATATTCCCTTAAATTCGAGGGTAAATACCTCAGATACATTTCGCAGGGAAAAGCTTTGTCGTGTCGTGAGGGATCTGCGACGACTCTGCGACACGCTGACATAGCTACTTCACTCACCTAATTCAACACTAACCGTTGGATTGCATTCTTCGGAGTCAAAGCAGCAGATCTACGGTAATACATTCTCAGTGCAAAACTTCTATGATGTAGAGGATTATAGCTCCATGGAGTACAGCTGGCAACTAGAGATTCCCAGCCGATAACGTCGAGAAATGTAGTCGGCTAAGTCGTATACACTGTTCTTAATGATAACCTAACTAACTTATCGTCTCTTCATATTAGAACCACATGTGCTTATCAAATAATACGTAAACTACTTATCACATATATTATCGGTCACCTTCTCTTATTAAAATCACCATTTCTGCAAGTTTTAATGTCCGTATAAATATTATGAAGAGAGAGAAACTCCATTCTCTAGATAGAGAGAGAGGAAAGAGAGGTTCTTTTTTCATTTCCTCTTTTTTTTTTTTTTGTAGAGAGAAAAAGAATCCATCATCAATCGCTTCACCTCTTTCATCTCTAGAGAGAGAAACTTGGTCTTCTGTCTGAAGATCGATCTCTTCTCCATGGTAAGTAAGCTTCACGCTTCTGTCTCTGCCTCTGTTAATGGAATCTAGCTGTTTGAATTTATGTTTAATTTATTTCAGATTTGCGTTGCCCTAGCTTTTCTGGGTTTTGCTTTTTCCCCCTTCTCAATAATTATTTCTTATTCTTTTTTTCATGTAGTAAAAAAGATACTCTTTTTAGCTATTTAATTCAATCGCCAATACTAGAAAGACCTAAACTTTGTGATTGTTTCTTCCCTTTTAACACTAATTATCTGCAGAAATGAGGAGATATCTGGAGAATGTTTTGAAGATAGTTTAAAGATCTAGTTGCAGGTGCTAATTTCGAATTCCCTTTTCTTTTTTCTTTTAACTTTTTTATTTATCCGAAACTTCGAAACCCATTTTAGCTGATTTTCCGCCGTTCGTGTTTATGGTGGCCATTGATTTTTGTAGATCTGGTGATAGTTTTTGGTGGGTCTTCAGCATCTGAGTTGAAAAGTCTCGGATTGAAGGAAACATGTCTTCCCTCAGTAGAGAGCTCGTGTTCTTGATCTTACAGTTTCTTGATGAAGAGAAGTTCAAAGAGACTGTTCATAAGTAAGTTGTGTCATGTCCTATTTCTGCATTTCACCCACTTCCGATCTGATAGCTCAGACTGAGATTTCAAGTTCCAACGAACCTGGGAGTTCTTGGTTTATTTGTAACTTCAATCATAGTGTTAAGTGGAGAATTTCGTAATGCATTGCTTCATTGCTGGAAATAGGCTTGAACAAGAATCTGGATTTTTCTTCAATATGAAGTATTTTGAGGATGAGGTGCACAATGGTAACTGGGATGAGGTGGAGAGATATCTCTCAGGGTTCACGAAAGTGGACGATAACCGATATTCCATGAAAATATTCTTCGAGATCAGGAAACAGAAGTATCTTGAGGCATTGGATAAGTAAGTCACGGACTTTTTTTTTTTCAATTTATTAGCTACAATGCGAGTAAAATAACAAATGAAAACCTGTGTTTTGATCTGAAAACTGGCATGTTTCTCGTAGGCATGATCGTCCAAAAGCTGTGGATATTCTGGTGAAGGATTTGAAAGTGTTTTCCACCTTCAACGAAGAGCTTTTCAAGGAAATCACTCAGCTCTTGACATTAGAGAACTTCCGGTGAGAAATTTCGGGTTTACACCATTTCCGGGCTTTAGCTGTAGTGCAAAAGAGAAGATGGGGATATTTATAAGTGTTTTAAGTTGTTGAAAATTGTAGGGAGAATGAACAGTTATCCAAGTACGGGGACACGAAGTCGGCAAGAGCTATCATGTTGGTGGAACTCAAGAAGCTAATTGAAGCAAATCCATTATTCCGCGATAAATTGCAGTTTCCTACCCTTAGAAACTCGAGGCTGAGGACTCTGATCAACCAGAGGTGATTGATTGTCTCTTGTCACTGTTCTTGTTCACTTCAAGTTTGCATCTTTTTTCAGCTGTTTGATCGGCGATTTTTTCTTTTAATGTAACTTACAGCTTAAACTGGCAACACCAACTTTGTAAAAACCCGAGGCCTAACCCAGATATCAAAACTCTTTTCGTGGATCATTCATGTGGCCCACCTAATGGTGCAAGGGCACCTTCCCCTGTAAACAATCCGCTTCTCGGGTCATTACCAAAAGCAGGGGGATTTCCTCCTTTGGGTGCACATGGGGTAGGTTAATTTACAAGGGTTTCCATTTCATTGGCCACGTTCGTTTTTTCGATAAAGCCTTCACGAAACATGTTTGACGAGTCTCTTATACTTCAGCCATTTCAGCCCACACCTTCACCGGTTCCAACACCTCTTGCTGGTTGGATGTCTAGTCCTTCCACTGTTCCTCATCCAGCTGTGTCTGGAGGAGCCATAGCTCTTGGAGCTCCATCTATCCCAGGTGTTTGTTTATAGAAATGTCTGTGCATACATACATACATTTTCTCCGTGTCTGCAAGTGTATATCTTCTTGCATATCCTCCTCTTTCAATCTCCCCGACCTTAAAGTTATGCTCTTGGTGGTCTTTCGCTGTTTGCTTACCTTGTAATGTCTTTCTTGTTTGATGTAGCTGCCCTGAAACACCCGAGGACTCCACCAACTAATTCTTCTGTAGATTACCCTTCAGGGGATTCTGACCATGTCTCCAAAAGAACAAGACCTATGATGGGAATCTCCGATGAAGTAATTCAATCCTGATCAAGAGTTGCTTTCTTTGTAACGATTATGACGCATTAGCATTACCCCGATTCTTTTGTTTTCCTCATGTGTAGGTGAACTTAGGAGTTAACATGTTACCTATGACGTTCCCGGGACAAGCCCATGGTCATACTCAGGCTTTCAAAGCACCCGATGACTTGCCCAAGACAGTTGCTCGGTCTTTGAGCCAGGGCTCGTCTCCTATGAGCATGGATTTCCATCCGGTTAAGCAGACTCTGCTACTAGGTATATAGATATCTCTTTCTTGACATGTATACACATTTTCGAGTAATCATCGGTTTTCTAACTCAGGAAAAAAAAACTGCTTCTTTTGTGTCTTTTCTTTCAGTTGGTACAAATGTAGGGGATATCGGACTCTGGGAAGTCGGTTCTCGTGAACGTCTAGTGCAGAAAACATTCAAAGTTTGGGACTTGAATAAATGCTCAATGCCCCTGCAGGTACCCGTGGCAAGATAACAGAATGTTGATAATCCATATATGAATTTTCAGTGACCCGAAAAGTTTTGATCTTCAGGCTGCTTTGGTGAAAGATCCTGTAGTTTCTGTCAACCGTGTGATATGGAACCCTGATGGTTCCTTGTTCGGTGAGATTATTAGACATTTAAACTTTCGGTTATCTGAGATAGCAACCTTTCTCCGGTTTCCGTATATATCAAAGGCCCTCATTCTCAACTGCAGGAGTCGCTTACTCGAGGCACATCGTACAACTATACTCTTATCATGGGGGTGAAGACATGAGACAACACCTCGAGGTGTTACAATGTTCACAAGCCTTTTCTTACATTCGTTTGCTTCTGGATCATATTGTCATAGAAACGGTTTTTGAATCTCAGATCGATGCACATGTCGGTGGTGTAAACGATATCGCATTCTCTACTCCGAACAAGCAACTCTGTGTAATAACCTGTGGAGATGACAAGACCATCAAGGTTATAGCTTTTCTTGGTTTGTATTTTCTGTACTACATTTTTCCGGTTTCGGTTCTGAAGCGAATAGACTAATGGGGGCCAATACTTGTCGATTATATAGGTCTGGGATGCTGCCACGGGTGTTAAGCGACATACTTTCGAAGGCCACGAGGCTCCCGTATACTCTATCTGTCCTCACTACAAGGAAAACATTCAGGTACGAGTTCGTATTCTTTCAGTTCAGCTTTGAATCTGTCACCATCCATTTCTGAAGCATTGCGACCCGGCAGAAGATTCTTGAATTCGTTTCAGTTATTGACTCGTCTTTTGATTCCCGTGCTTCTAGTTCATCTTTTCAACAGCGCTCGATGGAAAGATAAAAGCGTGGTTATACGATAATATGGGTTCTCGGGTTGACTACGATGCTCCAGGTCGTTGGTGCACGACAATGGCGTATAGTGCCGATGGAACGAGGTTTAGCAAGCACCCTTCTTGCCCCGTTTTTTTCCATATCAAGAGGTGATTATATGAATGAACTAAAGTCTCGAGCTTTTACGATTGAAATCATTGCAGGCTCTTTTCGTGTGGAACGAGTAAAGACGGGGAATCGTACATAGTAGAGTGGAACGAGAGCGAAGGAGCCGTTAAAAGAACGTATCAAGGATTCCACAAGCGTTCTCTCGGTGTTGTGCAGTTCGATACGACCAAGAATCGGTACCTGGCTGCGGGTGATGACTTCTCCGTTAAGTTCTGGGATATGGATAATATACAACTTTTGACCGCCATTGATGCTGATGGAGGTCTTCAGGTACGTAAAACGAGATCTAAATCCTCGACATTGTCGAGATATTTCTCGGAGCTTTTTGCTAAAATGGTACATGCTAAAATCTGTCCTCTGTTATCTAGGCAAGCCCACGAATACGTTTTAACAAGGAAGGCTCTCTCTTGGCCGTCTCTGCTAACGAGAACGTGATCAAGATTTTGTCGAATTCTGATGGTTTAAGGCTATTGCACACATTCGAAAACATATCAGCGGAATCCTCCAAGGTACTGAAGTTTCAGCTTAGCGGATCTTCTTCGTGTTTACCGATCAAAAGCTTATCTGATACCACGATTTTGTGCAGCCTGCCATTAGCTCCATTGCTGCCAGTGCTAGTGCTGGCCTTGCGGATAGATCCGCTTCTGTTGTTTCGATCCCCGGAATGGTGCGAAAAATCTACCTTTTGTCGAGTGCTTTCTCGTTAATTCCCGCAGCTTTTTCTGGTTTTCGATCAAGCTTCTTCTATTGTCTTTATCTACAGAACGGAGAATCCCGAAATATGGTGGATGTGAAGCCGGTGATTACTGAAGAATCGAACGATAAGTCTAAGATATGGAAGCTCACCGAGATAAATGAACCCTCTCAGTGCCGGTCGTTGAGGCTCCCCGAGAATCTCAGAGTCACCAAGGTATTCGGCTCGAGAGCATGATATGTATATGTATATATACATGTGCACGCACACACATGTTACACCTATGCCGAGCTTTTACGGATTCGATTTTTACAGATTTCAAGATTGATTTTCACGAATTCGGGTAATGCTATCTTGGCGTTGGCTTCGAATGCTATCCATCTGCTATGGAAGTGGCAGCGAAATGACCGCAACTCAACTGGAAAGGTATAGATAAAATCTCTTTACATTCCCGAGATCCTTCTCTGCGATCTGTCTTTATAACGGGTGGATATAATGGTATTCGTCG